CTCCCCCTACATCTCTACAGCACAGAGATACACGATTTTTTTATTTTTTTTGCATATCAAAATTATTCTTCAGTAACCAACTTCAGTTCCTTTCATAAATGATTCAACTGACATCAATATATGACTAAAAAGGAAAAGAAAAACGTAGCCTGGTGTGAAAAACGCAAACTAAAACACTGCTAATCTTCAAGGTTGGTTTTTTTTAAACGTTTAATGTGGGCGTAACGACTGTTCCTACGCCTGAAGCGAAGCGCTAACAGATGGCGACACGCGGTAATAACTCCATAAGAAAAAGACAGCCATTAACGTGCCAAATAAATTATTTAAATTCTGTCCGAAGTTTCCAAAGTACAATTAATAAGGAAGTGTTAAGCTGTGGTACTAGCATGACCTTATTTGTTTTAGCTATGTAACAGTGATCTCTTATCTGTGGTCATTACAGACCCACGCTATAAACAAGGGACCTTAGACAGTCGTAAAAAATACTTTTTTTTTTAGTTAATTAAACGAATCACTCCAGAACAAAAAAAAATCGTTCAATTCGCTCAACATTTTTTTACTGTTTCTTCAGAAGAAGCCCTTTCATTTGAATATTAAGCTCTCAATGAAGTTAAAATTTAATTTTTTTCCATGCGACAACAGAAAAAATAAAATAAATTCAGTAGCATGTCATACAATTCTCCTCGAGACATAGGTGAGAAAAACAAAAGGTGAAAACTTTGGAAGTTCTAGGAACAATAAATAATATAGAAGCAAGTAAAAGCCCAGGAAGCTGAAGAGCCCTTGACAACACACTGTTGATTATTGTGTTATTTCTAAGTAGAATGTCAACAAAGTAAGAAAGATTCCTGGTGTAATAGGAGTCTTAAAATAGCAACGTAGTCTTTAATTAATATAAATACTTTTGCATAAAAGCATGCCATATTTTATCCGTTAATTGGAGTATTTCAAGGTAATTGATTCCAAGTTATAATTACTTAGGTTCATTGAAATTTCTAAATACTGTTTATTAAAAAAAGAAGAAGAAAAAATACATACGTTGATATAAAAGTTTAGATGTAAAATATAATTTTTTTTTTCCATGTGGTACAAAAAGTAGGGTTCCATCTAGTGAAATGATTTATAACTGTTGATGAAAAATAATAATTAATAAACAGTTAATTAAACTTATTTCTAAAGTTTTCGGGAATTTGGCTTGTTTTGTAACATGATTTTAAAATAAGATGAGAGAAAACAATTAGGGGAAAAACAGTAATCGCAGTATCAATTTAATAAATTTTCTTGTACTTTTCATTTTTATGCCTAACAATGGTTGGACATAAAATATAATTGGATTTTTTTATTTTATTTTAGTAATAATTCAAATCAACAATAGGGGGCGGTTTCTGTTTAAACATCAATATTGTGCTTCAACGTTGCTTTCTAAACTCCAAAGCACCAAATGTAAACGTTAGGCTTAATTTCTTTTTTCGTTAAATTGAATATTCAAAGTATAAATAGAAATATTGTACTTTTTAGTCTTTAAATACGATCCAAAACAAACACATATGTATACGTTTATTTATGAAAGTTTTAGTCTAAAACCAGACAATGCGATATCATGGCGAGAGATTAAAGGCTTAGAGGGCCTCGGATCAAATTTTATAAGGCGCCCTCAGAACTGAACTTCTTAAATAAGTGAAATACAGTAAAATACACCCTCCCCAATGGTTCAGCAGTAAGTCTGTAGCCTTATAATACCAAAAATCGGGTTTCGATACCCGTGATGGGCACAGCACAGATAGCCCATTGTGTAGCTTTGTGTTACAAACAGTTCAGTACTAATTGTTAACTATAGTTTGAGCGATACACGAATACAAGCGATGGGTAGTTAAAATACTAATTCTAATATTTATAATAAATATAAAGTAATAATGATAACGAATTGTTTTGTTAAATGGCAAATTTTAAGAAAGAACAAGCTATAAGAACATGTTAATTAAAAATTAAAAGGTTTATGTGAAATAACTATAATCGTAATTAGACAATTGCAAACACGTGTTTTTCAATGGTACTTTCAATTTTTGATTATTTTTTTGTATATTTTTCTCCTAGTCGAGCACCCAAAGCAATTGCACCCATCCCCATATAAGTCCGTAGAATTATCATTGTGTCAGTGGGGGAACTTTAGTAATGTATTAAGATATATTTTAAAATATTTTGCAACAGAGGGCGGTAGTTACATGATACACGCGTTAATCAATTATAAATATTTAAATCAATAAAGAATGAAAATTAATTTATTGCTATAAAAAGACAGTATGTTAACTAATACGAATGCAATAGAGGGCGCTAGATGCATAAAACACATACTAATCTGTTTGTTTGTTTGTTATGGATTTCGCACAAAGCCACACGAGGGCTGTCTGCGCTAGCCGTCCCTAATTTAGCAGTGTAAGACTAGAGGGAAGGCAGCTAGTCATCACCAGCCACCGCCAACTCTTGGGTTACTCTTTTACTAACGAGTAGTGGGATTGACCGTCACATTATAACGCATCGTTGTGACCAACAGAATTATCTGATGATAACTATATTACCAACATGATTATTGGGTTATGACCAACTGGATATTTATATGATAAATGAATGACGATCAACATTATAAAGGGTGATAATTTTGTAACCAATAAGGTTGTAGGATGCCAACTTTATGACCAGCAGGGTCAGCGATTTCTTTGAGAATAATTTGGTAAGCAGAATTTGGTTCACCAGAAAATGTTTTACGGAGCAAAATCTGAATTACATTAATCTCGACTAAGTTTGAAGAAAAGAAATATACTGAGCACGATGTATCACACAGTGATACAACCTTTATTCAAACACTCGCTATCATAATCAAAGCTTGTAAGTACAAATGTATTTTGGCACATTTGCTGGAGAGATATCTAAGTGTTAATATGTATATATATTTATAAGAAATAGCTCCCCTCAATTGCCTTGTGTAAAAACCTAATTCCAACCTGAGAAAAAATATGGTATTTTATATAGGGAAGACAACAATGTCATTTTTCTCAGGATGAAGTTGTCACCTACATGATTGAGGTCACTCTCCCTACAAAAGAAGGGTTGTGGTATCTCTAGGACATCTTGTCAGTTGAAAAGATCATTGTTGATTTTCATACAGTATGGTTTAGATTACAGCAATCTTTCCCATAAGCAGGTTCAAGTGATACCCTAATTGAATGACTTGGTTTAGTGAGTAACTAGAGCGAGAGGAACTTATCAGCTTTCTATATAAAGAACACGTACTGAATATGCACAGAATGTTTGAAAAAATAATATTTTAACTAAGGAAACACATGGCCCAGTCTAATTCCTTTCATAATTGTCTGATTGTTGTACAAACAGAGCTATGAGTCTAGTAGGAAAGAAATGGGCGTGAGACTGCAGATTATAGTTCTTACACAAGTAAAAAAAAAAAATACAAAAAAATAGACCAGTTACTGTAGGAATTCTAACCTCGTATTTCTAACCATAGAAATTCATCGTGCTTCCTTTCAGACTCCCTTTCAAATACAAGTTTAGCATTGCTAAGGGTGACAATGAAGCATCACTCTACAGATGTTGATCTGTGTTGATCACACATTTTATTTTCATTCATATGCTGCATGATAGTGCAGCACAACATCCATATATTCAATCATACACATATACATATGTACATATATACATATCAAAATTATACTCACCATATATACTAGTAGTTGTAGATATACTATTTCCGGGTCTGGCGCCGTTACTATGGGAACCTCCACTAGTTATGGCTAAATAGCTACGAAGCTGTAACGTGTTGCCATCTATGAGCCGTTCAACTCAACTTGTTTTATCAGTACCAAGGAAAAAAATAATTATTGGCAGAAATTAGCCAAACTAAGATTTTTAGCCAAATTTCTATCAGGAAGGATTAAAATTTGTGTGTTTACTAGAGACACACTCAGACCAACCTAGGCTAGCACATATTATTCCACAGTAAAATACTTTTACTGTCTTGGACATCCACCAACACTCTGATAACCACGGTTATTATCACTGCTAGAATTTTTATATCTTTATTTCTATAACATTAAAAATTCATATAATACTTCCAGATTTTAGTTGTCTGTAACAGTTCAGTCTTGACCACTACAAACTTATAACTAGAGATTGCAACCAGAATACCAAGCTTGCTTTATCTCCATGTCTTATGGTATTGTTGGACTGGAAATTAGTGGAAGGTGACCTTCACATGATGCTAGCCCAACTTTCACACGAGAATACAGACTGGTCATTTTTAATCACGCGTTTGATTGGTTAAAGTTAGAAAAGCGTCAGTTCTTTGACTGGATATGTATGTGTGATTTTAACCTTTGTAGTTGAATCAGTCTTGTCCTGGTTATAACACAGTTCAGCTGGGTTAACTGGTACAAAATAGTTAGTCAAATAAACAGCGCTATTTAAATTTCAACTGTGTTAGCGTGTACATTTTTTCTTCTTCCTCGTAATCCATCAATTAATCCTTTTTTTATCTTATGATTCATATCCAACACTTGTCAGTTCCTACACTGAAATTTTTGGTCTTTATTCTTCATACATCAGTGACTCACCGATGCTGCGAACATCACCAACTCCTCCTTATACAATTCACACTGAAGAAAACCCTTAGCTTATTCCAATTTGTACAAGTATCTGGGTAATTCCTTGACATATGCTCACTCTTGTTCCCTGGAGTCAGATCTAAGGCAAAAGTGATATGAGCTGCTAGCTGTTTGTATATGCGACCTTTACAGGATCAGTAGATGTTTACGACATTTCGAAATTCTGTTGACAAAAATTTTATAACTACATGCAGAACAACCGCGTGAAAATTTAAAAATATTTACCGGAATATATCAGACTAACTATACATTCTAAACTAGTTATGGATGGGTGAAATACAAGACTATTTCTGCCACTGCAATACTTCCATCCTTATCTCAGGGAAACTCTTGTTCAAAACTTTAACAAAATTAATATTAATGGTAGAATTAGAAAATTAATTACAGGTTCGTTTGTTTAATTTTAAAAGCTACCTGCGCTAGCCATCCCTAATTTTGAGGTGATAGACTAGAGAAGAAGCTGCTAGTCAGCACTACCAACCGCCAACTTTTGTCAGATCGAATAGTAGGATTTGACTGTCACTCTTATCCCACATCCACGTTCCCACAAAACACAGAGGACCATTTTTTTTTTGCTGTAACAGGTCACTAACCTAAGTACCAAAGTCCAAAAGCGCTTAGTACCAAGCCGTTCTTTGTTTCTAAAATGTACTAATCGTTTCCCTCAGGTGACGTCACCTCGGTGGCTCAGTAGAAGGCTAACAAAATCGGGGTTTCGATACCCGCGGTGGAAAGAGGAAATGAAAAACACACAAAAAACATAGATCGTGCAAGGGTTTTGTCCTTTAGTGTTCAGTAACTGTAACGTTTGCGTTTTCAGCATGTTCTGTATAAATTGAATTTATATTTGATTATATTATGTATATATATATATACACTTGTTTGTTTGTTGTTAAGCCCAAAACTACACATAGCCCAACTGTTGAGTCATCGGGAAGACCCGAATGACGGAACACAAACATTATTGGAGCTAAGCCTATTTTACCAAAAATTTAATTTGTAAAGCACTACGTTCTCTTACCAAACTTTTGTACAACACACTTCCTGCTCAAATATCTCTTTTTCCTGTTGTCCTCACTGAGTTCATTATATTTTCCTCATTGTCACTACTAAATTCATTCTGTTTTTCACCACTTTCGTTACTGAATGCATTCAATTTTTCCTATTGTCGCTACTGAACACATTTTATTTCCCCATTGTTCTATATCTTGAACCAGTAATTCGTTTTTTTGAAATGCACTAGAAGAACTCTACAATATTTATGTAAGTTTACTAGTTCATCGCTTTTTTTTTTTTTTTAGTTTTCTATGTTAATACGTCAGATTATTTTTTGTTTTGTTTATAAAAAAAAACAGTTGCTAAGACTATCTGCTGTCGTCTTTCATTTTGTACTTCTGACCAGAGCAACCGTGTCTAACGGCAGGTTTCGATCTCACAGCCCACAAATTATGAGTCGAGAGTCCTAATCACCATTAAATATATTATTTAGAATGAATTTTTCTGGAAATTTCATTTTTTGGTCAACAGAGGGCAATGCAAGCAAAAAGTTAAAAAATAGAAATTTCTGCGTGTAAGAAAAACAGAATACAGATGGAGCAAAGACTGAATAAATTAATACTACACGTAAAAATATATTGTGTAAGTTAAAGTTGTGTTTTGAATTTCGCACAAAGATAC